GAGATCCTTATGGAAATCGTCCTCTATGTATTGGTCGTCTTATTCCAGTATCTGATATAAATGAGAAAGGTAATGAACTTCAGAAGACGTATAATTTTATAATGTTTTTCAAAGTTATTGTCCTACTCCTGGCAAGGCCTAAAATCTTGAGGTATATGAAGCTTGTGGGTGAGAAGGGGATAGGTAAAAAAGAAAAAAGTGATATTCTTAGTTTTTAAAGTACATTTCATTGAGTACTTCTGAGGATGAGTCATTTTTAATGTGTTTAATGGACATTCCTATTTTTTCCTGTCTCAGTTGCTTACTCATATCCTTTGCCTAGCCTTTCGTTTCTGCAGTATGATTTTAGTGATTTTCTTTTTGACTTATCAAGATGTCTTACTCAATTCATAAAGTCATAATGTTAGAAGGGATTTTAGAGGCTCGTTTATTTATTTATTTTTTTTTTTGGGGGGAATTCTGGTTGGGAATAGCTCGTTTATTTTCAAGTGAAAATCCATATGCTCTTAAAGTCAGAAATGGCTATTTTGAGAATTATTTGGTATTTAACTGTTTTGTTCAGATAACCTCTTTTTAAAATTTTTTGAATCTATTAACTGAATTGATTATCTTGTGATTTATAGAGAAAAAAAGATTAGAAACAGAAGGATGGGTGGTGTCTTCAGAATCTTGTAGCTTCTTATCCATTGGTGCAAGGTAAGTTTTACCTCATTCGGTACATTATCTTTTCCCACACTGTTAAGAAATTTTTCCTTTGATATTTATGTGAAAGTTTTCTTTCTCGTGTCTGCAAGAAAATATTTATAAATGCATTTTCTTCCTTTTTTGTGCAGTGACATGATCACAGCTCACTGCAGCAGCCTCCAGCTCCCAGGCTCAACCAATCCTCCTGGCTCAGCTTTCCAGAGTAGCTGGGACTACAGGCGCAAGCCGTCATGCCAGGCTAATTCTCTAATTTTTTTGTAGAGACAGGTCTCACTGTGTTTCCCTGCCTGGTCTTGAACTACTGTGCTCAGCAATCCTCCCACCTTGGCTTCCCAATTGCTAGCATTACAGGCCTGAGCCACTGTGCCCGCGCTGTAATTGCATTTTCTTAATGTACATTGTGCTCAGCAGTTGCAGTGAGTTTAACTTTAATGTTCTAGTAATAACTTCTAATTCTGAAACTGGCATCCTTCTTTCAAACTATCACAAGCTTATTTTAGAAAGAAGAACTTCTTCAACAAGAAATAGTTACAATAGGAAACTTAAGCCAGAATAAAAATTTCTTTAGCCTTTATCTTCAAAACATCTCTCTTTCTTTCTCATTTATATCAGATACTGGAATAAGACGACCAATACATAGAGGACGATTTCCATAAGGATCTCGTACTGCATAAATAACATCTCTGTGCATTATAAGCAGGGAGTATGCTGTGGGTGCTTCCTTCATTAAGTTTTTAATCCTACAATTAATTAAATAATTGGGTGAGTAACTTCAGTTACAAACACATGCAAGGCAAAGTTCTCATTATCGGAGCTGCAAGTTTAATTCAGTTTTATAATTACCTTGCTACCCAGTCTGGAGTGTCATCTCGTTCTTGTGGAGGGGTATATGCTAGTAACTGGGTAATCATTTCACTATCAGAACTTGTTGACAGACCAACACCATGTCGCAGAAGCTATACAGAAAAAATAAAAGTTTAATCATCAGAGGGAAAGTTCCACCCTACCCCTCACCCAATAGCCCACCATAATGGAAAGAAATCAGGTATTCTGTGAATGCTCAGTTATGAAAAATCCTGTATCCCCCCAGTGGTATGTGCATACTAATAACAGAAGGCCACCACCGGAGGCAATGGGAAATCTCTGAAGGTTTTCAAGCAGGGAAAAAAAGTGCTTTGGTAGATATATGGAAAAGCTTTTGAAGACTAAATCTGAAGGCATGTAGACATGCAATGGGGAGAAGGAGCATGAAGATTTGGTTTGTGGTTCTGATTTTTTTCTATCCTCGACATTCTTGACAAATAAGACATATTCCCATAAGAATGGTATACTCCAGTGATGACTTTCAAGGTGGGATTATTGGTGGTGGCCTTGTTAATTATTACTGATGGGAGAAAGGATCAACTATATTGAACAACTACTTGTAGAAGATAAAATAAATATTGCCTGTGTATACTCTCTGACAATTACAAAGCTGTGAGCAGGACTGACCAGGACAAGGGTAGCCCTGTGGACATGCAAAGAATGAGTGTAAATGGACACGACAGCACATTTTCAGTAGGCAGCTAAATGTGTAGTGATAAAGTCTAACATCTGGGTACAGGGTTATGTCTGGAAACAATGAGCTAGTGGTTATCTCTACTGATGAAGTTTTTAGTAATTTTTACTTCATATTTATACTTTTGTGATTGCCTGAATTTTTTAAATGAACCTTACAGTTTTTCATTTGGGTACAGAGAAGCACATAATCATCACTATAATGCCATAGCCTCAGAAGAAGGCAGGGCAAAGCTCTGGGAAATGCCTAAAGTTTTAATTGAAAATAGAAGGACAATGAGTGATACAGAAGCATGGGTTCTAGATATTTTTGACCCACGAGTTCATCATTATTAAACTTCTATAACTATTCATCATATGGGAAATACCGGGCTCCAGAATGCTAAAAGGAAATGGTGTGTGTGTAACCATCCTATTACTAAATATCACCTGGTGGGGATATGGAACTAAAAAAATTAAATGCCAAAATGATAAGCATCTTTTTGTATGCTAATGAGATGAGTAGTGGCTAGAAGCTTCTGGTCATGATGGGGGCTGGTTGCCAGGGGAATCAACCATGTGATTAGAGGGTCTGAAATTTCAACTTCCTCCCTGGACCTCTGGGGAAAGGAGAAGGACTAAGGCTGAGTTGATCACTCCCAATGGCCAATGATATGATCAGTTGTGGTACTACTTAATGGAGTAACCACGAACCAACTTTCCCAAATCACTGCATTGGATAGGTGAGCATTTTATTTTATTTATTTATATGTTTTTTGAGACAGAGTCTCACTTTGTTGCCCAGGCTAGAGTGAGTGCTGTGGCATCGCCTAGCTCACAGCAACCTCAAACTCCTGGGCCTCGAGCGTCCTTCTGGCCTCAGCCTCGAGTAGCTGGGACTACTGGCATGCGCCACCATGCCGGCTAGTTTTTTCTATATATATTAGTTGGCCAATTAATTTCTTTCTACTTTAGTAGAGACGGGTCTGGCTCTGCTCAGGCTGGTTTCGAACTCCTGACTTTGGCAATCTGCTGCCTCGGCTCCAGAGTGCTAGGATTACAGGCTTGAGCCACTTGCCAGGCCAAGGTGAGCATTTTAAATGCAGATTCTCATCCCTGCCCCAACTCTGAGGTTGCTTTAGAATCTGGAATTACAACAAGTACTCCAGGTAATTCTGATGCAATTGTTTGTTGCAATTAGGTGACAGGTAGAAACAGTTAGAGATTATGAAGAAAATGCCCTTTACCAAGATCATTAACTTTGACTCATTAACTGATTCCAGTCATAAGAAAAGACCTTAAAAAAAACCAAACTTACCTTTTTCCTTAATCGAGCAGCATTTACCAATTCGCCATTGTGTGCCACAGCTATTTTCCCATGAAGTGTTTCACAACAAAGGGCTGACAATTTTTAATTCACATTTTCCTGTAGTGGCATACTCGTGTGTCCAATTCCAAGATTTGAAACATAAATTTCTTCAAATTGTCTCCAGTAAAAACGTGATTTAAAAACATTCCCTTGAGAGTTAAAGTAAAATGCATCTTAGGAAAAAAACAGAGACTATTACTGCTAGTGAGTATTAAAAGCCCCTTTGCCCGGGTAACCCAAATTAGATAATGCAGTTCACTTAATTTATCTGTGCTTTGTAGTTGTAATCTTAAAAAACAAAACAAAAATCTTAACGTCATCGTAAGTAAGACCTGTAAAGCACTTACTTTAAAAAAATTTATGGAGGTGAATTCACAAAACATAAAATTAACAATTTTAAAGTAACAATTTAGTGACATTTAGCACACTCATAATTTCATAAGGTTAAGACAGAGTACAGTGGCATCATCATAGCTCACTGCAACCTCGAACTCTTGGGCTCAGTGATTCTCCTGCCTCGGCCTCCAAGTAGCTGAGACTACAGGCATGGCCATCACACCTGGCTTAATTTTAAAAACTTTTTAGAGACGGGGTCTTGCTCTAGTGACCAGGCTGGTCATAAGGTACTTTTCATTGAAACATTTAATAACAGATGTACTGAGCAATAAAATTTGTCAAATATAAACTAAAACTTGCACTTGAACACACTGACTACCACACTAGAAAAAATATTTTTTCCTTGGGGCATGGTGTTTTATTATGAAAATAGAATAAAAACTTTGAAAACAAAACCATCCTAATTCCATGAAAAATTTGTTGTTTTTCATTGTTTTCTGTGTGTGAGTTATATGCAACTTGTAAAATAGTTCAGGAGGCTCCCAAGGTAAAGAGACGTGTGAGTTACATATGCTTCACGAAGCCCCGGGCTCAAAATTAGAGGGAGTTAAATACAACTGACATAGCAGTTAATGTGTTAAAACAAAAAATCAAAGCATCAAAGTATTTAAAGAAATGACCTTCTATTTGAGTGAGTCAATTTTAGGCAGCAAACTATCACTGAGAAAGAAATCCATCTTAATTTGACAAATGTTAGAATATAAAATTGGAAATGGCTCATCCCAAAAATGTTACTTCTAATTGCAATTTAATCATTTAGACCCCTCCCCCATCTGGCTACTGTTCTTTTTTAAAAATTTATTTTATTTTATTTAGCTATCGTTATCTTTATCATCGACATTTTTTAATGTTCCAACTTACCTTATGCGTTTTGAATGTTGGTACTGAATTCCCATCACTGGTCACGATACCAGCACTCTCCTGACCCCTGTGAATATGAAAACATATTAACTGTTAAATCTGCCCAATTGATATGCTTCTTAAAGAACATTATCAAGCATACCTTTCTCAACAAGCATCCATGAACCAGCCAAACACCACATTAAATGCTGCTAGTATTAGCACCACTTCTATGGATGATGAAGATTGGTGACAACTTGCAATAGCAGCAGATGCTGTTGTAACAAGATGATATTGTCATCTAATTCTAACTATATGCCAGATACTGTCCTAAGCATTTTCCATGAATGATTTTATTTGGCTTTCACAGCAATCCTGTGAAGTAGGTACTGATTGATTACCAAGACCATTTTATACATAAACACACTAAAGCAACGGAAAGGAAACTACATAACTTGCTCCATGTCACATGGACAGCTGGTGATACAACCAGGATTAGAAGCCAGACAATGTGACCAGAATTTGTGCTTCTAACCTCTATACTATGGCCTCTAAATAAGGTTTCAACGGGATGAGTATTGTTAAAATTGATTATCCAAATTGGGTCATTCTTGTTATATCCAACAGAGTTGTGGGGTCAGGGGGAAAAAAGCAATTGCCATATATAGCATTGCTCTAGAAATATAATTTCTCTGCAAGCCCAGTGGCTGAAACTGCCTTTTGTAACTTGAAACCGGTTTTTATCTACAGCTGCTGAGATAACTTGCTGCAACTCTAGGACTAACTTTGCCTATCACTGTTGCCCACCAATTGGAGCTTGTCAGCTCTCCAAAGCTTTACTGGTATCAATGAACTTTCTCTTAGAATCCCACATTGTTCTTTTATAAAACCCCCAACCTTCTCTTTTTTCTTCAGACCAAAGATTACCCAGTCTGCATGTATGCCTCAAATTACAATTCTTTCTTCCTGAACAAAATATTAGAGATTTGTCTCTACATTTTTATTTTCTGACTTCGACGGTATGTAGATATACATAAAAATCTCCAAATATAATAGGAGGGAAAATGGGAAAATGCTTAGTTGTGGGTACTGAAACTTCAAGCATTTTGTTGTTGTTTTTCTGAATTTTCCAAATTTTCTCCAACAAGTATCACTTTCATTATAAATGCTGCTTCGAAAAACCCTCTGCTGACCCTTTCCGACGTCTGTGTATTATTTCCTGCAGTAGTATTTTAAAGTGATGATAGAGAAAAAAGCCAAAACCTAGACTGGAGCTAGAGCATAGTAAAACTTACAGAATTTGGACCACTGTGCAGTATAAACTCTGATAAAATAAAGATTCCAACTGCTCAATAATTTTTAATAGTTCTGAACAAGTGCTACAAAGACTAGATGTTTATGGACAAATTTTTGTTCCAAAGAATTATTCATCAGGGTAAAAATAAAAAGTAAACCTCTTCTGTATGTGTCTGTAGGCTTTAATAATTGTTAATATATTGATTTGTTTGGTAAAAAAGAATCTTTTTCAAAATTATATATTGTAATTATTTAAGTGTTTTATTAATAGGAAAAACAATATTAAATACACTTGCAAAGTAAGCATCTAAAAAAACCTGAAATTTTATTGAATATATTAAATGCTATGCTGAAAATAGATGTACATAATACTATACAGTTTATGAGACTAAATAAGGATTTAGGATTTAGGATTTAGGATTTAGGATTCTTTTATTTAGTGAAATTTAGTGAAATTTAGTGAAAAATGCTGTGATTTTTAAGTTAAGTGATGCTAGAAGACTAGGTCATTTACATCAGAGAAAAAATATATTAACATTAGCTATAAACCTCAGAGCAAAAAAAGAACCTCTGCTAACTATTTTTAAAAATCAACAATCATTTGGTAAAACAGTACATTATGTAAGAAAGGAAATACAAAAAGTGGTTTTCTTTTCCTATAGTACCAAGGGTAATTTTTCCTTAAAGCTGGAATGAATAAGGTTAGGAATCATTTAGGTCCAGGCTTCTTTAATGAACAAAGCCAGCTTATTTGGCAGTTTCTCAAGTTACTCCCTCAGGCAGCTTGAACCAGTTAAGCAGATCCTTTCAGCTCTTCAGAGCTTATAGACAACCAGCCATCTGGTTTCCTAGGAAACAAAACCTTGGCTAAAAAACAGTGAATCATTTCCAGGTCACTTTCAACATGGAGAGTGGAGCAGGAAAGCACTGGACTGAGGAGGAGGTTAAAGCTTTGCTAAGTGTCTGGGCAGAAAAAAATATACGAAAACAACTTTATGGAACCCTGAGAAATAAAGGAATATTTATTTACATTGCTAAAAGGCTGCAATCATTAGGAGTACACAGAGATTGGAAACAGTGCCGCGCAAAGTATAAAAATCTCAAATACGAATATAGAACAGTTAAATATGCCCACAACTCTGGAGACAGCTCTAAAACTATGAAGTTCTTTCAGGATTTGGATGCAATCCTGCAGTATGAACCTGCCACACAATTTACAGATGAAGATGCAAACAGCAGGTACCTGGCAATGCTGAGCCCAAGTACAGCCCCAGAGATCACTGAAGGTAAAAAGAAAAAGTACTATTTCTTTTGTTTTTCTTTGTTTTACAGTTTTACAAACTGTAAGAGTACAGGACTCTTGAGTCCATATAATAAATATAGCCTGAAATATCAAGGTTGAGAAAAAACAATTTGTTATGCTATTTCACACAAGGGAAGAATTAATTTTTTAAAAAGGAGGTTAAATACAGCCACTCTTTAAATCTGTAAAATACAGAAAGGGCACATTAAAATGGCATTAACTGGGGGAGGGGGGCAAGGGCAATATATGTAACCTAAACATTTGTACCCCCATAATATGCTGAAATAAAAAATAAAATAAATGGCATTAACTGCTAGTACCAACTGCCTATCTGGTAAGTTTTTGAAATATAGACTGAATTAAAAAAATAGTTGAGGTTTTAATTTTATAATAGTGGCAAAAAGGGGGGAAATATAAAAAAACACTGCTCAACTGGTGTTTTCTCAAAGCTCCAACAAGACTGAACTTTCTCCTCTATTTTAATGTTCCCATTTTCCTAAATTTATAAATAAAAGCACAAAAATACTAGCAACTGATAAACACTATTTCATTATTTGTTTGGAAGAACAGCTCCATTTTAACAATGAAATTTAAAAAAAGACAGATTTCATAGATTAAATGATTTGAAATTAACTGATGTAGGTATGAAAATGATGTTCTTGGCCTGCAGGGTCATTAAGCCCAACACTATTTATTAATACATAGATTTTGCTCATGGTGGAAGCCACCAAGCATCACTAGGCAAAGAGGGGGAATATCAACGTCAGTAATGAGATTTTTCCCATAGTCAAAATCTTACAGATGCTATTTTTAAGAACAAATTTTTCAATTCAATTCAAATATCTGTAGCAAAACACTAAGCCACCCACATTTAGTGATGAGAAACCTCAAAAAGGAGGGAACCATGAATAAACATAAAACCCAAGAAAACAGTAAATAGTGTAACAAAGGTACCCATGTGGAAGAGGATTAAGAGGATATAAATTATAATTGGATAACTTGAGTTAGCTGATTTTCATGTTTACAGCTCTATGTATCAGGTGGTTTAAAAAAATGACCCCACTTACAAACATCCTTTGCGTTTCTGATACTACATCAAATTATGAGAAAGCTACGCAGTCATTACCATGTTAAACAGCAATTACATTGTTTTATTCAGTTAATCACGCTGGGCTCTTCATTATTTAAATGCTTTAAATATTGATTGATAGATAAATAAACCACTCAGCTTCTGAAAGTCCCCGATTTTAACCACAGGTTGGTCTAATGAAGATGTGAGTGCCAGTATGTCCACTTCTTAAAGGGATCTTCTAAGTGTAGGTGCATGGCTCCAAACTCCTTAGCATCACTCATAAGCAGAGGGCCTATATTTTTTACAACTTAACCATGTATATTTAAAGTATCTCAAACCTCCAATTCTAAAATCAAACTTTCTTCCCCCAGCAAAACTGATCCCCCTACAAATTCCTTCCACTTCAATATCACTGGATTCCCAATCATCTATATAGAAATCTTTGAGATATCCTTGACTTGTGATCAGTCACTGTCTTTAAAAAAATCTACTGACATGTTTCATAAAATGTTCTTTCTGCTCGACTCACATTAGCACCATCTAGAACTTGATCTCTCACATGGAATATTAACATATCCTCTTTAGAGGTCTCCTTAGTTTTCAGCCTCTTCTCATACACTTTTCACAATTCTGTTAGTAGTTGTTCTTTACATTTTTTAATTATAAAATTACAAGCATATGGCCAGGCGTGGTGGTTCACGCCTGTAATCCTAGCACTCTTGGGAGGCCGAGGTGGGCAGATTGCTCAAGGTCAGGAGTTCGAAACCAGCCTGAGCAAGAGCGAGACCCCGTCTCTACTAAAATAGAAAGAAATCAATTGGCCAACTAATATATATAGAAAAAATTAGCGGGGCATGGTGGCACATGCCTGTAGTCCCAGCTACTCGGGAGGCTGAGGCAGAAGGATTGCTTGAGCCCAGGAGTTTGAGGTTGCTGTGAGCTAGGCTGATGCCACGGCACTCTAGCCGGGGCAACAAAGCAAGATTCTGTCTCAAAAAAAAAAGGGGGGGGGGATAAGATATGTGCAGTGTGCATAGGAATTTGTTCATAGTTTTTTTTAAACTATGGTCCAGCCCTCCAATGGTCTGAGGGACAGTGAACTGGCCCCCTGTTTTAAAAGTTTGAGGACCCCTGGTCTATGCCATTAAAATCTCACCTAACATTTGATAAGATGAATAAATCTTTAATTCAAAAATTACAAAGACCAATCAAATGTACTTAATTACCTCCTGATAAGTCTGCAACTTTATTGTAATAATGACTCTTCAACTTCATGTGCCAACTGAATTATAAATTCTACATGTTGAGTTCCTTTAAAAGATGCACCTTTTTTCTTAAAAGGGGATTTTTAAATAAAAAGATATGTTTTATATCCTCCTCATTTGATCAATTTAAAAAGTAGTCTATGCCTCATTTTATGAAAACCTATATAAAAACATCCAAATCATAAAACAAAGAAATCGAGGAAGGACTTCTTCCTTTTTTAAGGTTGGCATGGTTCTTTTTTTTTTTTTTTTTTGAGACAGAGTCTCGCTTTCTTGCCTAGGCTAGAGTGAGTGCTGTGGCATCAACCTAGCTCACAGCAACCTCAAACTCCTGGGCTCAAGCGATCCTCCTGCCTCAGCCTCCCGAGTAGCTGGGACTACAGGCACGAGCCACCATGCCCGGCTGATTTTTATATTATATATATTAGTTGGCCAATTAATTTCTTTCTATTTTTATGGTAGAGACGGGGTCTCGCTCAGGCTGGTTTTGAACTCCTGACCTTGAGCAATCCGCCCGCCTCGGCCTCCCAGGGTGCTAGGATTACAGGCCTGAGCCACCGCGCCTGGCCCGCATGGTTCTTTTATTTTATTGTTTTTTATTTTTTTTGTTTTTGAGACAGAGTCTTGCTCTGTCACCCAGGCTGGAGTACAGTGGTGAGATCATATAGCTCACTGCAGCCTCAAACTTCTGGGCTCAATCATTCCTCCTGTCTCAGCCACCTGAGTAACTGGGCATGGTTCTTTTAATGCTACATATCTTAGTCCATTTAAGCATAATTTAGATTAATTTCTGGAAACTTTAGTATGTATCAACATTTTCAGAAAACAACATTTTTTGATTATCTCATTGCAGGACCTCTCCTTTATATCACTAGTGTTATTTATCAATACCTAATATGTTAAAACACCCAAGATACAAATATAAATAAAACACCTCGTTTTAAAAATGTAATTTAACTTGAAAACTAACCACAACCATCACTAGAAACTTAAAAATTATCAAACAATCCTAGAAGTTCAAAATAAACCAGATTAATGGGATTGAAAAATTAGATTTCTATTTATATACGTAAATATTTAAACCATATAATACAATTTTGCTAACAAAATGTGTCCATCACAAATCTATTTTCACAAATATAATCAAATTCAGCTAAAGCTATTAGCATTGTCAGTTATGAAAATCCAATTTTTATTTTCCTTACTAGTTATTTCTAAAAGGAATTCTGTTCTCTTTCCAGGTAAAATGTCAATTGCATTAGAAGATAAGGAAGACATCTCAGGAAATCCTTTACTTTTGGTTTCTCATGTCAGACCAATGGAACTAGGTATAGTACGATGGGCCAAAAATATAACGAAACAGATCTAATTTCAAATTGGAACGTGAGATTGGTTTCTAATCTAAGGAAGTTGACAATGTTTCCTGATAAAAACACTTAGAATTTGTTTCTACCCCCTTTTTACCAACCTATGTTGAAAAAATCCATTTTGAAAGCAAATGATTTCTTTAACAAAATGTAAGTTTCCTAGAAATATTAGCTAATTTCCAACCTTTTACTCTTTAAATATTAAAAGAAATCTGATGGCTAAACTTACACATAGTACAATGAACATGATCACTTTACTGTTCTGGGGCGTCTAAGACAAACAGAATTTTACACCTGAAAGTAAATAATATCAGAGCCACAATGAGGTCAAGGATGGTTTTAGTTACCCAATTAATAAAACTCAGTGAAAATCTCTTTGCTTCTAATTTCTTACTGAAACTAGAAGCAAAACACTTAACTGAAGCTAGAAGCAAAAACCCAAATAATAGAAAAACTTATTTCTAACCCATATAAAATACTGAAAAGCATTTCAAAACAAAAACCTTATTAAATATACCACAGAATAAAAACAACTCCCATTTCAAGCAAATGCTATAGTGTTGTTTTTTGTTTTTTTTGAGACTGAGTCTCACTCCGTTGCCTCGGCTAGAGTGCTCGGCATCAGCTACAGCAACCTCACAGCAACCTCACAATCCTGGGTCAAAGCGATCCTCCTGCCTCAGCCTCCAAGTAGCTGGACTACAGGCACACGCCACCTGCCGGCTAATTTTATATATATATTACTGCTGCCAATTAATTTCTTTCTATTTTTATAGTAGAGACAGGGTCTCGCTCAGGCTGGTTTTAAACTCCTGACTGAGCAATCCGCCCCCCTCGGCCTCCCAGAGTGCTAGGATTACAAGTGTGAGCCACCACGCCCGGCCTATTTTCTTTGTATTTTTAGTAGAGACGGGGTCTCGCTCTTGCTCAGGCTAGTTTCAAACTCCTGACCTTGAACGATCCTCCCACCTTGGCCTCCCAGAGTGCTAGGATTACAGGCGTGAGCCACCGTGACCTGGTGCTATGATGTTTTTTAATGACTTAAAACTCATTATAGGCAGGGCGAGGTGGCTCAGGCCTGTAATCCTAGCACTCTGGGAGGCCGAGGCAGGCAGACTGCTTGAGGTCAGTTCACAACCAGCCTGAGCAAGAGCGAGACCCCACCTACTATAAATAGAAAGAAATTAATTGGCCAACTAATATATATGGAAAAAATTAGCCGGGCATGGTGGTACGTGCCTGTAGTCCCAGCTACTTGGGAGGCTGAGGCAGGAGGATTGCTTGAGCCCAGGAATTTGAGGTTGCTATGAGCTAGGCTGATGCCATGGGGCACTCACTCTAGCCTGGGCAACAAAGCTAGACTCTGTCTCAAAAAAAAAAAAAAAAAAAAAAACTCATTATAGGCTGGGTGGGTACAGTGGTTCAGGCCTGTAATCCCAGCAGGTTGGGAGACCAAGGTGGGAGGATTGGTTGAGGCCAGAAGGAGTTGGAGACCAGCCTGAGCCACAGTGAGACCCCACCTCTACAAAAAATAGAAAAATTAGCCGGGCGTGGCAGCACAAGGCTATAGTCTCCAGCTACTTGAGAGGCTGAGGCAAGAGAATCCCTTGAGCCCAGGAGTTGGAGGCTGCAGTGAGCTATGATGATGCCACTGCGCTATCTAGCCTGGGCAACAGAGGGGACCCTGCTTCAAAAAAATAAAATAAAATAAAATCTCATTAACTCATTATAGATGTTGGAGTCTGTACTACCTTTTAAAACTGCTAAAGACCAAACATGAAGGCACACAGCATATTAAAGGATTCATAACTAAGTAGAGACATACTGCCTATGAACAAGGCATTATAAAATTTCTGACACATTTCTCTACTATTAAAAACCATAATAAGTACATCACTTAAAATGGTATTTAGTTTTCCTCTAACTTTCACAAGGAGTAAGCACTGATTGTTTTGTGTGGCTCTTCCAAGCCCTCTGCTCGCGAGTAGCCTTGGTTCTCAACCCTGACTACACACTAGATCCACAATTTGGGGATGAGAGATGAGGGAGGCACTGTAGTTGTGGTTTTTAAGTGCTCCCTAAGAGATTCCAATATGTGGCTAATAGATAGAAAAAAGGAATGAGTTAAACTGTTCACACCTGTCCTATCTGAAAACAAAAATCATCTACAGTAAGCCATTTTTTATGCAATTACTGCTTTCTATAAGTAAATATTATATATTCAACTTTCACTATACATTATACCCCATGTACCAAAGGAATGGGATGGAGGAGAAAGAAATTATATAGAAAAAAAGAACCAAAATGTGACTAAAAACAACTTTATTGAGGCCAGTCACTGTCATGAAAATGAACAGATTCAGGTTCTGTACTTCATTTCCCCATTAGTTTAAGAGAAAAACTAAGCTATGATTTCTTATTCCAATCTCCTATGGAGAAAATTGCTTTCTGAAATAATGTTGCACCCAATTTTCTGTCTTTCTGATGTATGTAATCCATATATATCTCCCCACCCGATGCAGGTATCTCTACGTCAGTCATGGAACCCCCTAATAATTCAACTTTTATTCCAACTGTAGCAAATGAAGGAGGAAAACACTGGACTATGCCAGAAGTCAGGGCTCTAATAGACATCTGGTCTGATAAAAGCATACAACAACAACTAGAGGGAACAGTGAGAAATAAAAGGATATTTGAACAAATTGCTGCCAAGCTTCAGAAATTTGGAATAGAGAGAGACTGGAAGCAGTGCAGAACGAAGTATAAAAACCTAAAACATGAATATAAGATTGTAAGAACAGCTCAAGACCTAGGCGTGACTAAGAGTATGAAATTTTTTACGGAGCTGGACGCAATTCTGGGACACAATAAAACAGAAAAATCACAAGAACAGGAATCTCAAGATGGAGAACAAGTCAGAGAATGTGCCAATATAAAAATGGAAGAGAACCAGACAGGTAGGAAGGTGAAGAAAAGTAATCTTAACATTGTGCGTACCCTGTTTTTAAAATCCTTGAAACCAGAAGTGTTTCAGATTTAGAATTTTGTAAAATTTTTGAATACTTGCATATATATACTAAGATATCTTGGGGATGGGACCCAAGTCTAAACATGAAATTCATCTATGTTTCATATACACCTTATACACATAGACTGAAAGTAATTTTATGTAATATTTTTAATAATTTTGTGGATAAAATTTTGACTGTGTTTTGACTACAACCCATCACATGAGGTAAAGTGGAATTTTCCACTTGTGGCATCATGTTAGTGCTCAAAAGTTACAGATTTTAGAGGATTTCAAATAAGGGATGCTTAATCTGTATTAAAAATATTCAAGCATAAGATGAATACAATGTAAGTTAAATAGGTTTCAGTACATGCTACTCAACAAGCTAGTTGCTGAATTTATTATGAAACAGATTTAATGTCTTTTTGATCTCCTCCAGAACATAAAAAGCAATACAAAGTTACATGAAAGGAAATAAAATTGGATTTCCAGAATAAAGTTTAAAACATATCAATTTTAATAAAGCAAATGTGCAGCCCAAGATGGCAGAAGTTAAAGTAAGTTTTCACACTGTTAATAATTGTGATAAAACTGAGTAAATAGAAAAAGGGCATTGAAAAACTTAAAATACAAAACCCATGAGAATGTCTTGAAAGTGGAAAGTTTTTCCAGGACATATCATTAAGTTCTTTAATATAAATTTAACCAAAAGGATTATGATATGGTATATACACACCAAGACATGATAGCATGAAATAAACTGAATGAGTTCTAGACCAGGAGTCTTGAAATTAAAGTTCTAACTCAGTCTCCATGGAACTTTAAAGCAACCAAGTGTCCTCTCTAGACCTAACTCCAAGATGGGGACAAGACGGTTTTGAAGATCTCTACTAACCCTAATGTTTCTAGATTTTATTATCTGGCTTAAATGATGCAGGCCTAATTCTGAGAGTGTGAGTTTGTGTCTGGGGAAGAGAAAGGGGAATGACAGTTAAGATTGGGAAATGCCAGTGAGAGTCTCAAAATATTTCACTGGTGGACAATATGCACCTGCCATTAAAATTAAAATGTAAGATGACTGGAAATAAAGTAGCCCAACAGCAGTGGGACAATATGTTCATACAGTCGTGCTGGAGATGCAGCTGAAGATGATTCCATTAGTTATATGTCAGAAGACCTTGTCAGAGACTCATATATTCCCCATATCTATAGTGACTTAAGACAAAAAGAAAAAGCTAAGGGTAGGGAATCTAACCCATGGAAAAGCAAACAGTCACATTTAGCATCAAGTTCACTCTAAAAGGCAAATAAAACATTAGAGTTTAGAACATAATTCTGAAAGTGAATATAACAAACCATTATATATCTCCCTGTGTTCATACAGTCATTGCTCGAGAGGCAACTGAAGACGTAATGTTCAGTGACAAGTCAGAAGATGTAGGAGATACAGATATAAAACAAAGTCCTGACACGGGTAAAAATAAGTGTCTTTGTTTTTGGTGTGTGAACATACTGATAAATAAGCATTGTATTACATATGGATACATAAGATGCTATAAGATGCATAACATAAGATGTTGCTATGGACTGAATCGTGTCCCCACGAAATTCATGTGTGAGCCTACTCCCAATGTTTGTTTTGGTGGTGTTGTGTGGTTGGTGTGGATGAGTAGTTGGTTTTCTTGATGTTGGTCGGTGTGTTGAGGCGCTTGTTATTGTTTAGCGTTGTGGCTGGTGCGTTGAGCAGGCTGGAATGTTTGTGCTTGGTGGTGGGCTGTTGGTTTGTTGGGGTGTGTTTTGGGATGTGATTGCGGCTCTGCTTTTATTGAGGCGGACCCTCATCTACATATAAATAGAAAGAATTAATTGGCAAATAATATATATAGAAAAAATTAGCTGGCATGGTGGCGATGCCTGTAGCCAGCTACTCAGGAGCTGAAGCAGGAGGATCGCTTAGCCCAGGAGTTTGAGGTTGCTGTGAGCTAGGCTGAGCCAGGCACTCACTCTAGCCTGGACCAAAGCGAGACTCTGTCTCCAAAAAAAAAAAGAGATAGGGGCCTTGAAGGATACTTATGTTTAGATGAGGTGCCCTCATGATGGGTTTTAGATTTTATTATATACATAAAGTAATAGATGATATAATACCTAAGATGTTATATTATCAAGTACTATTGGATAATACTCATATTTGCAAAATACATTAATGGAAGGCGGAAATTATTAATGAAAGTAATGTTTCCCATGGCTGTTTTTCTCAAACCGTGGCAACATCAGCGTCAACTGAGAACTTAATTCAGAAACTCTGGGCTTGAGGCCAGGAATCTGTTTTAACAAGTCCTCCAGATGATTACTATGCATGCCAGTTTGAGAACCACTGCCCTGTGGTATAGGGTTAAGGGTGCAGAGGTGAGAAGAGTTCGTGCTTCCTATCTGATGGTTTGCCTCTTCCACACAAACCAAAATTGGGGGTACCAAACCCCCAAGGAGAAGCCTAGTTGTTAAAAAGCCCTTGTACATACAGTCTTTCAGTCCAAAGCTTCATGCAGCCTTGGAAAATGTAAAGATCAATGTTGACGTAACAAACTAGGTAATCAAATTCCCCATACTCTTGGCCAACTTCTTTCTTTGATTCATGAGGACAGATTCTGAGCACCTTAGGTTTCAGAGCGCATCACAGCAATTAATGACAGCCTTTGTCATTAAGAGTTGAAAATCAGATTATTACGATCTTTAATAAGAAAAATGTCCATTAAAAAAGTGAAGAGCTTTAGTGTTTAAAAATTTTTACCTTGGTAGTCCTCTGGAAAATTCACTTAAGTACAACACCTCAAGACAATTTTTTATATGTAAAAGGAAAAGATTAAGTCAGATGTACAAGTTTTTTTTTTTTTTTGGTATGTTTACATGGTAATTTGGAATATATTTAGAAAACATGAAACAGGACAAATTTACAGTCATTCTAGAAATCACGTATGATATTTTAAACTTTCACATGAAAATAAAAAGCAAAGATATAAACCCACAAGAATGCAAGCAGCTAAATATATATTTTAAAAAAAACTTAAATAGGCAAGGATTTTAAGCACACCTGCAATATATACCTATTGATTCACAAATCACCAGTCCACTATTTAGAAGAGTGTAGTATTGTAGTATAATATGGATAGATATCTTCAGAGGAGAAAAAAAAGTACATCAAATATGCCTGCTTTAAAAAAAACCCTCACAACAAAGTGATGGATATTTTCATGTAAAAACAGATTATTTTATTTTAATTTTACATATTTCACTAATGAAATTTTGTAATTGGAGCTGCTGTTGCTTCACACTGTTAACTTTGACATCTGGTCATAAAACTGATCCCCCAAAAGTATTTTCTGTCCTATCTTAAATGTATGCTATAAGTCATAAGTGTCTCTTTCTTATTTCAAAGAAAATTCCAGCTAGAGCTATAGACCCCTGTGGATTCTGCATAACTAGATTCATTCCCAATTTGGAATTTCTGGAGATTCTTTTTTTTCAGTGACAGTGTTTAACTTTGATGACCAGACCAGAGTGCAGTGGTATGATCATAGTTCACTGTAACCTCAACCTCCTGGGCTCAAGAGATCCTCCTGCCTCAGCATCCAGGGTAGCTAGGAATATGAGCACATGCCACCACACCTGGCTAATTTTTTTTTTTTGAGTCAGAGTCCTGCTCTGTTGCCCAGGCTAGAGTGCTATGGCATCAGCCTAGCTCACGGCAACCTTCAACTCCTGGGCTCAAGCAATCCTCCTGAGTAGTTGAGACTACAGGCATGCGCCACCATGCCCGGCTAATTTTTTCTATATATGTTTTTAGTTGGCCAATTATTTTCTTTGTATTTTTATTAGAGATGGGGTGTCCCTCTTGCTCAGGCTGGTCTGGAGCTCCTGAGCTCAAACGATCCTCCCACCTGGGCCTCCCAGAGTGCTAGGATTACAGGCCTAAACCACCGCACCTGGCCTTTTTTTTTTTTTTGTAGAGACAGGTCTTGCTGTGTTGCCTAGGCTGGTGTCAAACTCCTGACCTCAAGTGATCCTCCTGCCTTGACCCCCTAAAGTGCTAAGATTTTAGGCACGCGCCCCTCCACCTAGCCCGCTTCTGATCTAGTGGGTTGGAGCCAGTTCAGGTGCCTACATTTTTAGATTTTCTCAAGCACAGCTAGCATTGGAAACCACAGGTAGGTTCTCATACTAAAACCAACAGAGCTGAAGAAAGTAACACACAAGCTCCAATTTAATTCCATGTGGGGAAGAAAAATTAGCTAACTCTACTAAATTACCACTTAAAAATTTATGACTAATGCAGCATGAACAAAGTTAATCACTGGGAAGAATCCCAGAACTCTCAAACTACTCCTATCACATTAAGTGAAAAGAAATGACCCATGAAAATCGAATTAACTACTTCTTTCGATCTAAAATTTAACTTTTATTTTTGTCCCTGGTGTGAAGCACAGACAAGACAGGATAAAAGGAATCAGAAAGTTACCGGAGAAGAAAAGACTTTGCCAAAAGAGAAATGTGTGCTTAACAATATTATCATCTTCTTGTCTCTTCTGAGTAGAAGAGAGAAACAAAATTGACTAAATTTGTATCTGATACCAGCTGCCATTTATATGAGCTGGAATATCTCAATATCTTGATATTTCTTGCAAGTCATTGTTTTCTACTATAGGATAGTCACAGGTACTATTCTAGCTTGGAAGGATGGAGTCAGACATACTTAACTAAGCATAGAAGTTACATAATAGTAAATATATCCTATTAAAGGAGGGCACCCTGAACTTCAGCCTAAAAATCACAGTAGAAATGCCACATTGTTCAGTTGGACATGGTGGCTCACGCTGTAATCCTAGCACTCTGGGGAGGCCGAGGCGGGCGGATTGCTTGAGTTCAGGAGTTTGAGACCAGCAATGGTGAGACCCTGTCTATACTAAAAATAGAAAAAATTAGTTAGGTGTGGTGGCACACACCTGTAGTTCCAGCTACTCAGGAGGCTGAGGCAGGAGGATGACTTGAGCCCAGGAGTTTGAGGTTGCTGTGAGCTAGGCTGATGCCATGGCACTCTAGCCCCAGCAACAGAGTGAGATTCTATCTCAAAAAAGAAAAAGAAAAAAGAAATACCACTTTGGTTTTCTAAGAACAATCCCAAAACTGCCTATTTTCCTTTTGGCTGTAATAAAACATATTTCCAAAATTAAAACGTTCACTATCCCCATAATTTAAAAAAATTAGCAATGAGATGACCAGCAGGGGGCATTAAAGTATCTATTGTTATTATCTCAAAAGGTTTGTCAAGAATCATGTTTTCTCTAATTCATTTATTTCTTTTGATAGTACAAAAATTGGAAATAATTTTCTTTTTGTATTTTTATTTTTAATTATATAAAGAACATTCTCTCTAGATGAACCCAAGGAAGAAAATAATTTTCTTTAAACATGGAATATTTAAACACCTTTGTATACTTTGCATGCAATTTGGATAATCTTAGCAGTGAAATTATTACATAAATTAATGCACTTTAGTCACATGAAATACGATATTACTGAAGACTTTTTTTTCATTTTAACCCAATAGAAGATCAGGATAGAGAGCTGATTGCTAGAATTTCGGAAAACCCAGGAACTATTAAATAAATGTAAAAAAAAGAAAGCTCAGATGTAGGTAAGCTGCTAAACTGAAATACAGGCAACTTATTAATTATAAAGGCATGATTTTTCTAATTCGTACTGTTGATAATGTTTCAATAAACTTTTTAAGAAGCTGTGGCATAATGAACGTTATCCGGTTTTCGTCCTCTATTCCTGTCACAGAGCATCAAAAACTTTTCTAATTTCCAGTGGTAGAAGCATCTTTGCTGTGTTAATGAGGCCACTCAAGGTGGGCTCCCAGATAGCTTCAGGAAGGGAGTTGTCACCAGAAAGCCCAAGCATGTGATTAGAGGGATGGAACATTGAGTCAGCCTGACCTCCAGGGAGGGGAGGAGGACTGCAGGTCCACTTCAATCTATGGCCAATGATGTCATCAATCGTGCCAACAAAAACTTTGGTTTAGAGGAGCTTCCTAGTTGGTGATGTGACTCCACGTGGAGAGGACATGGAAGTTCAGTGCAGCACAATCCTTAGTTCCTTTACAATTTCCCACAGGTATCACAGCATTAACCTTTACACTTGACCTGCCTACACTTTATCTCCCTTTCCAATTCTTACACTCCAGCAACGCTTCTTTTTTGAGATATAATTTATTACCATCAAATTCACTCCATTAACTCTGTGTTTTTTAGTATACTCACAGAGTCATAGAACAATCACCATATTATCCAATTTTGGAACATTTTGATCACTCCAAAAAGAAACCCGATATCCATTAGTAAAACATTTAACTGCTTGATCACACCTTTGCAGCCCCTAAGAACCACCCACCTACTCTCTATTTTTACGGATTTGCCTATTCTGGACATTTCATATAAATGGTATCATATAATATGTGGCTTCTTTTATAAGGTTTTCAAGGTTTATCCATGTCCTAACACATATCAGTACTTCATTCTTTTTTATGGCTGAATAATATATCATTCTATGAATATACCATATTTTGTTTTCCATTCATCAGTTGATTGACTTTTGGGTTATTTCTACTTTTTGGCTCTTATGAATATTGTTGCTCTGAACATTCAGATACAAGTTTTGAATTTTTTCCATTTGGTAAAATACATATAATATAAAATTTACCATTTTACCCATTTTTAAGTGTACATTCACATTGTTATGCAAACATCACCACTTTCCATCTCTAGAACTTTTTCATCATCCCAAATCAAAACTTCTGTACCCATTAAACAGTAATTCCCCATTCTCCCTACCTTGTGGTAACCACTATTCTACTTTCTCTATGAATTTGACCACTGTAGGTATCACATATATTAATAAAGGGAATCACACAATGTTTGTTGTGGCTAGCTTATTTCATTTGGCATAATATCAAGGTTCACCCATGTTGCAGTATATATCAGAATTTCCTTCCTTTTTAAGGCTAAATAATAGTCCATTCTGTTTATATACCATATTTTATTTATCTATTCATCTGGTTGATACCATATGGGTTGTTTCTATCTTTTGGCTACTGTGAACAGGGATGTAAAAACAATCGTTTGAGTCTTTGTTTTCAATTCTTTTGGGTATATACCTAGGAGTGGAATTGCTTGGTTATATGGTACCTACGCTTAAACTTTTTAAGGAACTATCCTTTTTCCTTAGTTGATTGAACCATTTTAAATTCCAACCAGTGTCTTTTAAAAATTAAATCCAACAAGACTGACTTAGTCAAACATATTTTCAAATTTCCAAGAGGCATCAAGCCATCAGGCTACTTGGGAGGGTCAAGTGAGAGGATCGCTTGAGCTCAAGAGTTTGAGACCAGCCTGAGCAACATAACAAGACCCAGTCTCCTAAAAAAATACATATACATGAGGCCTGAAAAATTAGTCAGAATTAAAACCTAGAATTTAAACAATAGTAACTCACTGTTGGAGAGCTGCTGATTATACCCTCCCCCACCACACCTTCTCTGCCAAGCCCACTTACTGGCTATAGCAGCTTTCATTGGCATTTTCATAAGGTAACCCAGAGTAGTAACATTCTCTTTCTCTTTGTCTTTCATATATAAGGAATTTTTACTTTTTTCCACACAGGCAAAGAATCTCTACTTTTCTCAAAAGTCCAGGTTAATAATCTATCATGCTAGCATATTTAGTTTTGTTGCAGTAAACCAGATATAGATGATCTTTGTTCCTTATTCACAGATTCCATATTTGCGAATTTGCAAAGGTATCTGCAACAGCAAGATCAACAGTTCAGGGACTTTCAGGGCCGTTCACAGAACAGCAAAAAATTTCTTTATATGTATTGCAGTAAGGATCATTCTTAGTTACAATGAGGATCAAATGATAATAGACAGAAGAGCTCCTTGTCAAGCACTAAAATGTAACAATGAAAGATGTTACCAAATTGGGTCTAAAAGTGCTATCATACTCCCAAGACAGTATACTGCCTTCTAAGTTTAAAACAGAATACTTCCAGGATTTTAAAGGAGATAAATCCCACAAGGCCATTTTAAAATTGCCAAATTAAAGATGGCAAATATTCTTGGCTTTAAGATTACAGTTCTGATGCTAGAATCCAACCCTACTAGTTTTTCAGCACAATCTTGCATTGTAAAAGTAGATTAGAATTTTGTAAATAACAAATTTAAATTGCTGGTATATGTTCTGGCAGAAGAAGACTCTGAAAGTATTGCCTCAGAAGAGGTGGCCAGCCCCAGAGCACCACAAAGTATCACTGGGTCAAGTACAGGGTCCAAATTGTTGAATTTTAAATGTTATGTTGATATTTAAATCTAACTTACTGTATGTAGTTACAGGGAAGATCTCTATTGTGTATTGCTCAAACTGCTTCCTTATTATACCTGAATTGGTATTCCCACTTTTTAATAAAAGCGTTCTGTTTTGCACTTTTTACTAAAAGAAATTCCCACTTCTTACTAAAAGAAATTAAACATTTGGGACTCTCCATAGTCATTAATATCCAATAAATCACCTATTGATGACAAAGCAGTTAAATTTACTCTCACTATATCAGGGAGTAGTCTGCCTTATAATTTTTAAAATATATTGTTTGAATGCGGAGGTAAAAAACATCTTTTGACTCTGATTTTGAAATTATTATAATTCTCAGTGCTTTCTGTCAATCTAGGTATTTTAAGTGAATGGCATTCAAATATAAGATTTACATCTGTGGCCAGGGGTGGTGGCTCAGGACTGTAATCCTGGCACTCTGGGAGGCCGAGGCGGGAGGATCCTTTGAGCTCAGGAGTTTGAGACCAGCCTGAGCAGTAGCGAGATGCTGTCTCTACTAAAAATAGAAAGAAATTAGCTGGACAACTAAAAATATATATATAAAAAATTATCCAGGCATGGTGGCGCATGCCTGTAGTCCCAGCTACTCAGGAGGTTGTGAGCTAGGCTGACACCACAGCACTCTAGTCCAGGCAACAGAGTGAAACTCTGTCTCAAAAAAAATAAAATCCTGAGCACAGTGGCTCATGCCCATAATCCCAGCACTTTGGGAGGCTGAGGAGGGTGGCTTGAAGCCAGGAGTTCAAGCAAGACCAGCCTGGGCAACATAGCAAGACCCTATCTCTACAAAAAAATTTAAAAATTAGCCAGGCATGGTGGTATCTGCTTGTAGTCCCAGCTACTCAGCAGGCTGAGGTGGAAGGATAGCCTGAGCCTAGGTGTTGAGCTATGATCATGCCACTGCACTGCAGTCTGAGTGCTCAAAGAAAAAAAAAATCTAACAGGATTGTATGTTCAAATGGCCCTAAAAAATATTAGAAAATATATATCTAATTTAAGAGTTTCAGCTTTTTTCTAAACTTTTTACCAAAATATTTCTAATTCTTCAACTCATTCATTATCCATAAAATTACTTAATATTCTTACTTTAGTATATTTGAGTGCTTGAAAATTAATGTATTTCAAATGTTATTACATGATGATTCTTTTCCTATGTTTTTAAGAATTATTTGAAGATCACACCAAAAGCCAAGGAACTTTGAGCCTCAAGAGAAAAGCACACGAAGCTGGTAAGAACCACAGAAATGTGAAACATTTTTTCCTGATAACAGAGATATTTATTCCTGTCCTTGATGAATTAGACTAAATGTATTATTTATGAACTGTGTGTGAGCAGAGAATGCTGAGAAATAATTTATTTCATAGCTGATTAAGAGTGAAAGCAACACTAAAAGTAAACATAAACTGTCCTAGAGTTAGATAACTATACAGTTATCATGGACCTTTAAATTATACTTTACAGATATAAAAAGAAAGAAAAACTTACAAATTAATATGCTCTGAATTTTGGGTTTCCCCAAAGATATCATTTTGAATCCACTGAATTTAGGCATTAGAAAAAACATTACAACCTAAAATCAAGTCCCAGATTAAACCTTAGAATATATAAGCCTAGTACAACAGATGAGAAAACAGACTCAGAAATTAAGAGACTTGCCCAAGATTAATCTGGGACTAGATTTTAGGTTGTAATGTTAAGGAGCTCTTCCCAATATTGAGCAGAATAACAAAGCAGTGATACTCTGAGACTTCCAGGGTGGGTAGGTAAATTTTTCTTTGGACTAAGGCAAAAAGCAAAGTTCTAAAATATATTTATAAATGGAAGAATTGAAAACATTTATGATTTTAAATTGAGAATCACTGATTATAAAAGTAATTGAATTGTAGCCGGGTGTGGTGGCTCTGGCTCACGCCCGCCCGTAATCCTAGCATGCCGGGAGGCGGAGGTGGGAGGATTGCTCAAGGCCAGGAGTTCGAGACTAGCCTGAGCAAGAGTGAGACCCCATCTCTACTAAAAATAGAAAAAAATTAGCTGGACAACTAAAGATATACAGAAAAAATTAGCTGGGCATGCCTGTAGTCCCAGCTACTCGGGAGACTGAGGCAAAAGGATCGCTTGAGCCCAGGAGTTTGAGGTTGCTGTGAGCTAGGCTGACCCCATGGCACTCACTCTAGCCTGGGCAACAGAGCAAGACTCTGTCTCAAAAAAAAAAAAAAGTTAATTGAATTGAAAGTCTTTCAAAATCAAAGACAATCTTCTTCCTCGAACCAAAAATCACTTGGCTTAGATATATAGAATAAGGTGTAAAAGTAAAACACTAAGGGAATATTACATATTTGTTCACTTTCACTAAAAGATGAAAATCAAAATAATATAAGATATCCCACTAATTCCATAGAGTTTTATCTGAGTACATCTCTTTGTCTTTGTCACAAGTGCTTTTCTTTCTTTTTGAGACAGAATCTCACTCTGTTGCCTGGGCTAGAGTGCTGTGGCGTCAGCCTAGCTCACAGCAACCTCAAACTCCTGGGCTCAAGCTATCCTCCTGCCTCAGCCTCCCGAGTAGCTGGGACTACATCATGTGCCACCATGCCCGGCTAATTTTTTTTATATATATATATATTTTTTTTTTATTTAAGACAGAGTCTCGCTTTGTTGTCCAGGCTAGAGTGAGTGCCATGGCGTCAGCCTAGCTCACAGCAACCTCAAACTCCTGGGCTCGAGTGATCCTTCTGCCTCAGCCTCCCGAGTAGCTGGGACTACAGGCATGCGCCACCATGCCCGGCTAATTTTTTATATATATAAATCAGTTGGCCAATTAATTTCTTTCTATTTATAGTAGAGACGGGGTCTCGCTCTTGCTCAGGCTGGTTTTGAACTCCTGACCTTGAGCAATCCGCCCGCCTCGGCCTCCCAAGAGCTAGGATTACAGGCGTGAGCCACAGCGCCCGGCCTCTATATATATTTTAATTGGCCAATTAATTGCCAATTAATTTCTATTTATAGTAGAGACGGGGTCTCACTCTTGCTCAGGCTGGTTTAGTACTGCTGACCTAGAGTGATCCGCCTGCCTCAGCCTCCCAGAATGCTAGGATTACAGGCGTGAGCCACCACGCCCAGCCTCACAAGTGCTTTTCTAGTGATACTGTTATATATACTGTTTGCAGAACCAGTGTCTACATCTCTTAAGAAAACTTCACCTGAGATCATTACAAATCAGTTTCCTCAAAGCATAACAGAACCAAAAGATGCTACACAATATTTCTGCAGACAGGAGACCCAACTTCTTCAGGTAAATCGCATAAATTGTTAGAAGAGGTATGAAAATGTTTTTATCAGTTGTAAGGTTCAATTACTAGCCTAAGGAAGTAATAATGTACTGAAGAGAAGGGCATGCTCATCTTCTAACTAATCATGGAAAGGTTAACTAGCCGATTGATGGGATAAACCTAAGAAACTTTAGGAATTTCTTCTGTGGAATCTTCAAATATGTTCAGGCCATTCTATTCTCCATAAATGGAGACTATGGTTTAAAGATGAAAATGTTTGATCTAAGAGCGGATGTCTGGTTTGTTGGATCAAAGCAACATTTGGTGATTATATGAATCTGGCATGAACACCCACAAACATGCATGCACAGCTTACAGCTAAGACTAGTTAAACATTGAAAATTCCCTGACAGAAAGCAGAGCTATGGGATAAGTCTGCAAATAGTCAGAACTACTAAAAAGAGGTAATACTTCTGGATGAACCCATCTGGATTAAGTATCCAGTGCAAAACTGTTTAGCAATTTATACTCCATTTGTTTTTATATGAAATACATATTATAACTCTCTGGTATTCTGCTTATCTCTGGGACTAAATTTTTTAAATCAGATTATGCCTAAGGAAAAAAAAGGACCCAAATACAAAGCAAAAGTGATCAAATATCATCTTCTAGATTCCATCCTTTAAGCAGATAAGATCCATTTTCTGTTCCTTTTTATTTTTTGTAGATGGGATATCACTATGTGGCCCAGGCTGGTCTCAAACTCCTATCCTCCAGTGATCCTCCAGCCTAGGCCTCCCAAAGATAAGATCCCTTTTCAACACCAAAGTCTCCTAACAAAGACTCATTTGGTCATATGAGCAGGCTAGTGGTATCCATTTAACACTGCTCTACTACTACACAATCACTTCTCTATTGCCCTTATCTTGTTTTATCTAATCTCATAATTCTTTCACAGAACAGCAATTGTAGAAAATACGTACATGAAACTAAGAATCAAGTTATATTTATTTGAAAAAAAAGGGGGAGAGGGAAAGGAATACACCATAACCATATATACCAAATATTTTTCCTTAACTGAGTACTAGAATTCCAATTAGTGCCACCATCTAAGTAAAAACAAAACAAAACAAAAAAAAAACTTTAAATCAGCTCAATTTTCTTCAGGCATAGGTTTCAAGGGGAGGAGAGAAGGGGATGAAAAGAACTTTCTGACTAATTTTGGCTAAAAGAGTAAACATAGTTAAGAAAAAAAATTCAAGATCAGTTCATATATTTCCCACAGACTACCAGGCAACTCTAAAGATCCTTAGACACCCCTCCCAAAATTACATCACCTAAGAATGTTATAAACTAATGTTGCTCTCGGAACTACCACATAATCAGATTTTAATTTCTCCTGGGATTATATATCAACTCTCTCAATAAATCTTTTTTAAAACAAGAAATCTATTATGATCAACCCACAATTATCCAAGATTGGAGTTATTCAAGTTAAAAGTATTCTTTTTGATTAATCCCAGACTTTGAGTTACTCTCAACTCTTTGTAAACAAGGTACACAAAATGTGGAACTGAAATTCAAGTATTTGGGACTCTGAAAACAGCAAAAAGACTACTAATTTAAGCTTGGTTGGAGAAAAGCTAATCAATCTTTGCAATGGATTTGCATATTGCACCCATATTGCCGATAAGCGTTATTGCCAAGGTCCTTTACAAGTTGTTGCTACTGTATTACCTTCTGGAAACTTTGTAATATTTTCAGTGATAGTGTCAAGCCTAGGTTTGTATTTTTTACCCCAGTGGAATCATTTACACCAACTTTCCAGTTAGGTCCGGTAGTAAGAAAATCATGGAAGCAAAGTTTGTTTTTTGTTTTTAACTCCAAGGGATCTTCCAATTTTTCAAAGTCAGTGTGTATCTTGACATACAGACACTAACTCCCCTTGCCCCCTTTGAAAGAAGAGAGTTAATTTTTGGCATCATCCTACAAACATTTTCATTCATTATGTAAAACGTTTACGAATGAATCTTTTCCAGATGCACTATTCCCTGCGGTTGGTTTACTTTCACTTAATTTATCATACGAGATCTACTACCGGCAGATCCTTCTAAACATCCATTAGTCCTGTTTCCCCGGTTCTGAAGTCTAGGAGCCCCAAGTTCCCATAGCTCTGAGTCCTTTCAAACCCACAACCTGCTCAGTAGCTCTGCCCTTGCAAACAAAAGCTTGTGGTGGTTGGAGGGCCCGCGCGGAAACCTTAAGATGTTGCAGGACTTTTATGCAGGACGTGCACCAGCCGCCGCCCCGCACAAGCCTGTCCCAAGGGCAGCTCCATCCAGGCCCAGGAGATAAGACGGGGTATGCAGTCGGGGAGGGGCCCTGACCCGGCTAGACCAAGCTAGGCAGAGCCTTGCAAACTGGCGAGACTCAACAAGGAGGCGTAGACCCTGGGGGGAGGGGGAGAGCCCCTAGAGGGCATTGGAGGTTGGGAGGATGGGCGGGACAGCCCCAAACCCAGGGAGGCAAGGTGCTGCCCCTGGCGCACGTCTCGGCAGCCCGGTCGATGCCAGGGGCAGGTACCGGTCCAGGTAGGACAGGTCCGTCCTCCTGGCCCTCGGGGGCACACGCGACCGCCACCTCCGCCCGCGGGAAGCGGCGTGGGGAGATGCAGAAGCGCACACACCCCGCCACGCCACCGCGCGCCCCGCCGCTCACCGGTGCTGCAGCCCCACGAGTCCCAGAGTGATCACATGCGGCACGTCCAGCTGAGTGGGCCACTCTCCTGAGGCGATGCACCCGAACACGCCACATTCCTCTCGGATCCCCAACTCCTCCAGCTCCATGTCGCCGCCGAAAGCACGTGGAGGGACCCGCCGCCGCGGCCGAGGTCCAAGCACCAACCAGCGACCGGCTCGGCCCGTACGTCCCAGAGGCTCCCGCAAGCAGCTTCCTCCCCGGCCGCTGGAGGCCCCAGCTACTGCGGCGGCGCGTGCTCTCCCCGAGGAGGCGTGACTAGCCCGCCCCCGAAGCCCCGCCCCCGCCACGCCGGGCCCACCAATGAGCGAGGGCGAACGAGGAGGCTCCGCGGCTGAGGGGAGGAGTCACGGATCGCGGGGGGGTGGAGCCAGCCCTCCCCAGGAGACATCCCGAAAGCTTATTTTTGTGCACGTGGGAATCTCCGTTATTTTCCAGCATCCAAGACTAAGGTGGTGAGAGTAACGGAGTTAACATCATTTATCTTTCAGAGGATATAAACTTTATTTGCCCCTCCCCACATTGCTACCCCCCGGCCGACACGACATGGTACGCTCCAACCCACAAGCTGCTCGTGCAGCGCGAAGGGGCCCGGGTCGGCCGGCTTCCACACAGTGGGGAGGGGCCGCGGTGCGCGCCACTTTTCCGCTCCCCTGGAACGGCGCCCGCGCGGGGCGGTCCGGGGGCGGGGCTAGCGTCGCTGCGCCTGCGCGGCGGGAAGCTCACGGGGGGCCGTGCTCTCCTCGGGAGTCTCCGTAGCTGCGGGTCGGCCGAGACCCTCCGGGCTCGGCAGCTTTCGCCGCGTTCTACGGGAGCGGCGTGGGGACACGTGGCCCGCCCGGGGGCGTGTTTGTGGGCCGCGCCTCCCTTCCCCGCCCCGCGACCCTCTGACCCCTCCTCTTCTCTAGGTTTCCGCGTCTCGTCCCCGCGGCGGCCCAGTCGGCGTAATGGCGACGGCCGAGGGTGAGTAGCGGGCGCCCGGGCCGCCGGGGCATCCCTGCCCGCCGCGGTGTTCGGGCCCCGCGGCCGCGGGTTCGCGGGTTCGGCGCGGACGCGCGTGGGCCCGGGGCGGCGCCCGGCCTCCTGCCGCCGCGCGTCGGGCCGGGGCGCACGTGGCCCCGGGCCCTGGGGAGGGAGCGCGGGACGCGGCGCCCCGGGGCCTGCCGCACTTACTGGAACTCCGCCTTCGGGATGGGCGAAGGGAGAGAACCGCAGGGAACGAGAAACGGCCCAGGGTCGGAGTGGTGCCTGGAAGTAGTATTTGTAATCGATACATAGTGCAAAACACGGGAAAATCTAGTGTTCACTTTTCAAACCAAAGTCTTGCTTTTGTCGTTAGGTCAATAACCTTCCCCCCCCAAAGGTTAATAATTGCAGCTTCTGAAATCTATCCAGGTTTTGTGTGGTTTTTATCTTATTATTATTATTATTTTAGGTAGTCTTTGGTGCCATGATGGCGTTGGAGAACTGTAAAACCTGCAAGCAAAAATGACATTTCCTTGTTTTACCTTTGCATTGGTCAAGTTTACATCAGTTACAGGATCATTCCTTTTTCCCCAAGTGGTCAGACAGATCCTCAGGAAAGATCGTTCTTGCCATTTATGCTGATAAAACTGAAAGGGTGGAAATTCGTACTCCACTGAGAAAGAATTCTAAGACAGTGATTAGGATGTACAGAAATAAAAGTTTGTTTTTCCAAGAAAGGACGAGAGAGAGCTGTGAAGCCAGCTTGTCTGACCCCTTGCCATGTGTTTCTTGCAGGAGCTGAGGCAGAGAGCTGGGCCCAGAGTTCATACTCTTATTGTCCACTTAGGGCTCTTCATTGGGGAGAAAACGAGGCCACAAGTGTTTTAATTAAACAAAACAAAGTGGGTAGTTGTGTTGAGAGTTTCTCTCCAAAGGGGCAATTATGTCTTGTGAGTTTATTTCTGTTGTATAGTTTGTTTTCCTCTGTTAGGTAGGTTGTTAGACCACCTTTCAAAAACATTGGTTTCTTCCACACACTTAATATCTAAATTTGATATCAGGAGACTTAGGATTTATCAGAGTAAAAAAGGAAATTTAGCAGAAACAAGAAAGCATTGCAAAAGAAAAAAAAAAAAGACTTACGATTTTGTCTATCTCTTTCATTTCCTAACTAAATGGCCTCCACCTCAACCGTTTTGATTCCTAGTTTCCAAATTTCTGTATTTATATAATTCTTCCTAAAATTATGTGAATCAAATGTAATGGTATATGAGGAAATACTTTGTAGAATATAAGGTTTTATGTAGATTTAATTTTTATTAAGATTATTACTTAATCACTTTGTATGTTTACTGAGTCATGATTCTAGGAGATTTAGTCTTCACTATTCAGGAAATTTCTTTCTGACATCTGATATATTTCCATTTTATTTCCACAGTGTTGAACATTGGTAAAAAGCTGTATGAGGGTAAAACAAAAGAAGTCTATGAATTGTTAGATAGTCCAGGAAAAGTCATCCTGCAGTCCAAGGACCAGATTACAGCAGGAAATGCAGCTAGAAAAAATCACATGGAAGGAAAAGCTGCAATCTCAAATAAAATTACCTGTTGTATTTTTCAGCTGTTACAGGAAGCAGGTAAGTGATTCCCTTATAACCTCCTCCCACTTCCTTCTCTCTCACACACTGATTTCTTTCATGGGGAATCAGCATTAATTTAGATTGACAACCTGTTTGGGGATGTCTCACAAGCTAAGTCAAACAAAGAACTCTTAAACTTCACTATAACACTTTACTTGGTTTGGAATTGGCAGTATCATTTAGTTGCAAGGAATTTAAGAGTTTGCTGCAATCTTTTTTTAGATAGGATATTATGGCTGTGTTGCCTGGGCTAGAGTACAGTGGCCTTGTCTTCGCTCACAACAACCTCATATCCTGGGTGGAGGATCAAGTGATCCTCCTGCCTCAGCCTCCTGAGTAGCTGGGTCTAAAGGCAGTTGCCACCACACCCTACTAATTTTTCTGTTTTGTAGAGAGGGTTTCTCACTCTGTTGCTCAGGCTGGTCTCAAACTCCTGGGCTCAAGCAGTCTTCCAGCCTCAGCCTCCCAAACTGCTAGGATATAGGCGTTAGCCACTTCGCCCAGCCTGGTATAATCTTTATCTGATGAGTGTATTTCCTATGCAATTTCCCTCTAAGGCTATCGTCAATCTGAAAGAGTTTAACTGTAAAGGAAGCCCATTTTGTTATTTAGCAGCTTTAACTGAACTGAAATTGACTCTCTGTAATTCTTTGCAATTGTTCTTTGTTTTGTCTCTTGGAGACAATACAGAATTTCAAATCCGTCTGCCACTGGAAAGTAACAGAAGGCAGTACCCATACCCTCTCATCCTGTCATTCCTCAAGTGAGAAATTTAAGCTAGACCAAAGGTATCCAGAGTTCCCTCCTGCTCAAAAGTGAATGAAAAGCCTGGTACTCTCGCCTGTAGTCCCAGCTACTTGGCAAACTGAGGTGAGAGAATTGCTTGAGTCCAGGAGTTTGAATTTGAGTCCAGCCTAGGCAACATAGTGAGACCCTATCTCGTTTAAAACAACAACAAAGCCCAAGTTAAGACTCTATTTTCAAAAGAGAAATTGATTCAAAAGACCAAATTAAGATCAGAATATTGTGTGGAGAATATTTTGGAAGAAGGAAAAGAAATTATATATAATAATAGGTTTTTCTGCAGGGATTCAGTTAGCTGCTAGTCTAGTGTATGAAATCTAAGCTAGTATTAATAAAATATTTGAGCCCTTTTCCTACAGTGTAAGAGGCCTCATTGCCTTGGATCACTTAACCTTTAAAGCCTTGGCTTCCCTATCCATAAAATAAAAGCTTTGTTCTTTATCACCCCTGCCAGTTCTCTTTTTGTAATTTAATAACTTTCTCTTCTTACTTTTACTTCCAGTACCCTTTCATTTTTTAGAGCTTCCAATAAGCACTAATCTTTCATAAATTCAAAGGGGGATTTAACACTTTGTTTTGAGTCAAGATAGATGTATCTGCCTTCCACAAAATAATAAGGTAATTCAAGTTAAATCCATTCTGTCGTACATTTCCTGGAGTGGTTTTGCCTCTTCCAGAGTATCCTATTTCTCATTTTGAGTTAGTGTGAAAAAATACTAGTTGTAAACCTGAATTGTCAACCACATGATAAATCCCTCTATGCATTGGAAGTAAGTATATTGCTGTAAATTTAAAGGACCTTGCATAGTTCCAAAGTCATAGGATCTAGGATTTTTCCTGGAAGGTTTCTTTGGTTGGTGGTTTCCCAAAAACTAGGTAGATTTCTAGAGAGAGCATCAAACTAATATTAGGTTCCTTTTACAATAGATATGTGTTTGATTTATTTTTACCTCCCAAGTTATTTCCCTCTCCCTCTCCACTTAAAAAATGCTTAGCCCTTTAAAATGTTGGCAGTAAATAAATTAGTTTTTGTATACACTAAGTAGTTGCACAAAGCTGTGTATGTATACTTTTAAGTAATAGAAGATAAAGTCCAAGTTTTTATTTGCTTATTCAATAAAACACTATTCCATGCACTTTCTGTGGTTTTACAAGTGAGGTAGAGGGACTTTGTGTTCCCTTGTTTAACTGTGAAAGTCCTGTGGTTGGGGGAGGAACTGGGAAGATTGGTCACCCTAAATGAAGTACTCCAATAATTATCTTTTTTTTTTTTTTTATTGAGACAGAATCTCATTCTGTTGCCCGGGCTAGAGTGCCAGTGCCGTGGCATCAGCCTAGCTCACAGCAGCCTCAAACTCCTGGGCTCAAGCGATCCTCCTGCCTCAGCCTCCCAAGTAGCTGGGACTACAGGCATGCGCCACCATGCCCAGCTAAATTTTTTTCTATATATTTTTAGTTGGCCAATTAATTTCTTTCTATTTTTAGTAGAGACAGGGTCTCACTGTTGCTCGGGCTGGTCTCAAACTCCTGACCTTGAGCAATCCTCCCACCTTGGCCTCCCAGAGTGCTAGGATTAAAGGCGTGAGCCATCATGCCCGGCCAATCCAATAATTTATCTTTAAACTACTTTATTTGGCGCTTAACATAGCTAAATCTTAATAAGTTTGTGGGAAATGTTGAAAGATATTTTCCAGGTTTTATACATAGTATTGTGAACCCAAGGAAAACCTAAGCGATGTGTGACTGTATATACTACATTTTGTTTATTCATCTGTTGATGGACATTGGAGTTTTCCCCCTATTAGCTATTGTGAATAATGCTGCTATGAACATTGCTGTACAGGTATCTGTTTAAGTCCCTGCTTTCATTTATTTCTTTTGGGTATAAACCTTGAAGTGAAATTGCTGGGTCATGATCCATTTTAACTATTACCAGAGGTGTTTGTTCCCCAAGGCCACCACATAAAATAGTTTCCATCCCAGACATCAGAAGTCAGCTCCTTACTTTAATATTTAACAACAGTCAGTTGGACAGTAAAGACAAATATTTTCTTTGTTCCTGACCTCAGTGGCCACTGTATTCCTGCTGCTACCTGTTGAGTGTTTTTTTCAAAGATTGTTTGCTTCAAACATTAAGAGAAAAAGACTTCAGAATTGGCAGTTATTTCTGATTATGATAAGTAGATTGATATTCTACAAGTTACATATAAATACTAAACTTTAGGATATGAGATTCCTGCAGTCAAATCGGATTTAGAGATAATTTAGTGCTACTTGTATAAGTTACGTGCCTTGTGCAAAGTTGGATACTCAGTGGCAGAAAAGGTACTCAATAAGTATTTATGGAGTGAGTGAGTGACTAAATGAATGGTAAAGTCCCTGGAACCCAGATCTTTAGGTCCAGTGTGTATTTTGCCATGTAACATTTAAATGAAATATTTTTAATACTTTGATAAGCAGCAGAAAGGCATATTTTGTTTTCTTACTTTTCACCGTTTTAAAAATTACATTTATTTTTGATAGAGGTTTCTAATAAAGTGTAGAATTTTGTTCCTCAGATCTACAGCACCTTTTTTTAAACTTATGTCATCAATACGTAGGTATCAAAACTGCTTTCACCAAAAAATGTGGAGAGACAGCTTTCACTGCACCCCAGTGTGAAATGATTCCAATTGAATGGGTTTGCAGAAGAATAGCAACTGGTTCTTTTCTCAAAAGAAATCCTGGTGTTAAGGAAGGATATAAGTTTTACCCACCTAAAGTGGAGATGTTTTTCAAGGTAATTATTTTATGCTTCTGTTTTATATGTTACTATAATGTAGCGGTAAAGTTATAATTACAAGCTCAAAAGATTTAAACATTATTAAAGCTTTTGATGTTGAAGATGTCATTCAGAATTTTATGTCAATAATGTACACTTTCCATTGGCAATGATAAATCAGATTTTTAAAAGAAAACATCTGGCCAGGCCCGGTGGCTCACGCCTGTAATCCTAGCTCTCTGGGAGGCCGAGGCGGGCAGATTGCTCAAGGTCAGGAGTTCGAAACTAGCCTGAACAAGAGCGAGACCCCGTCTCTGCTATAAATAGAAAGAAATTAATTGGCCAACTAATATATATATAGAAAAAAAATTAGCTGGGCATGGTGGCGCATGCCTGTAGTCCCAGCTACTCGGGAGGCTGAGGCAAGAGGATTATGCCACAGCACTCACTCTAGCCTAGGCAACAAAGTGAGACTCTGTCTCAAAAAAAAAGAAAACATCTGAAAATCTGCTTACATTTGGATCAGGATGGCTGACAAAATGAATAAAGTTAGCCATTAGGAAGAAAACAGTAACATTTAATTCAAAAGTTTTTTAAATTTACTGTTGAAATCTTTTTATATTCTAATAAGGGAAACTGTACTATCAATGTCTCTTATAAGTGAAAATATATACAGTAAAGATTGTAGGGATCACAGGTTATAAGTTTTTATGGGCTTTATTCAGACTCCGTAATCCATCTTGATTTATGCTGTTAAATATAGAGCTGCTTGGGAAGCAATGTCAGTGTTGGATTTTCAGTCAGTGAGTTGCATAACTTGTACATATTATGATAATTATGCAAATGAGAGTTTGAGCCCAGAGTGAGTCGCTAAGCGGATGCATGGCACTTCTACGCCTAGCAACAGAGTGAACTGTTTCAAAAAAAAAAAAAAAAAAAAAAAAAGCAAGAAAATATCAAATATTTTAATATTCACAAAATTATACTAAAAAACTTTGATCCTAAGA